TTTGAACATTTCAACGGCAGAATCTATTTCCATTTTTCCAGATGAACCTTCGTGGTTAGTATTACACTCCAGTTTATGAGCTTCTAACCATTCAGCATACTCTTCGCTGTCCACGTGTTTTTTCCAATATTCACAAGATTTACAATACTTTGATTTAACAGCGTAGTCTACAATTTTTCCAACTTTGTAACAAATTAACGTTACTATCCCGTACAAAGAAGAGAAGCACAAGTCACTACTAATTTGAAACCCAATCCTCTCTTGCTGCTCTCTGTGAATTTCACTTCTGACTGACAACTGTTACATACCAAAATAATTGATAGAGCCGAAAACACAGCTACAAAATTTAATATTCGGTAGCCAAAACATTCGTCTATTTCAACATTGTACAAATCTTCGGATAATTTCAACTTCTTTGCAGACGAACTAAGATTTAAATTAATTCTATTTTTTGGATTTGGCGGCTTTCGATTCGAAATTTTTCTTTTGTGTCCAGAAATACCTCGACCTCCTTTTTTACCTGCATAGGCGACTTTCTTGACACGCATTATTAAAAAGTTTATATAAATTTTGAGGTGTAAAAGAACGACGGTTACACACGTGCGATCGCGTTTTTGTAGTAAAATCAACTGTGACTACACACATAAAAGTACTTTCACTTTTAATTTCAAATTAGAAAGTTACGCGACAATTGAGATTTTGTATTGTACAGTAGTACGCGGTGTGAACGACTGAGCGGCACGCGCACGGATGACGAGGCCCGCGCTACATTCAAAATTCGAGCACTTAGAAACTAGATCCACATTTGAAATTTTTACAGGATATTCTTGAGATGTTAAAGGACTCTTTAAGCAAAAAAAAAAATTTCGATTTTTGAAAAATTTCACGTAGGTTTACCGCCTTAAATAATTTCGAAAAATTATTAACAATGGGATAGTATCCACTATTCAAATACTACAGGGAACTTATTAACATATTTGTTTGATTAAAAATAATGATTATTAAAGAATAAATAGCATAAACTCATATTATACCATATACTCTCTATGTTAAACTCGGATCATCAGTAGCCATAGAGGTCCCGTGGTTTCGATAGTCATGCCTCCATCTCAGATCCCAAAAGGAATAAGGCTCACGGAGACAGCTGTATCTCCGTGAAAATCAAAATTTTTGAATTTCAAAAAATGGTATAAAAGGAGAGGGTAACTCCAACTCAAAACTTCAATAAAAATTTTTTGAGTTAAAGGTGTATGTATCTTTTCCGGTTTCTCCCTAAAATTCTAGAATTTTTTCCACAATATATAGCATTAAACAATTGTTAAATAACTTTGTTGCTCAAGCAATTTAAGAAAATTTGTCTTTTCACACAGTTGATGCAGTAAATTGACGATGCCGGCATTGGACCCGTTGAATGTCCCTAGTGCTATTATGAAATTCCACCAGAAACAGATCTTGCTCGGGTGTTTCCCGCATGAAAACACTGAAATCTCTAACAATAGGCCTGGGATATTCTAATGTGCTTGCCTTCGCTCGAGCCGCTACAAAGAGCCGATGAACTGGCTTGGGCCACAAGGCACAAAAATGGATTTTACCATCATCACCAACGCCGAATTGGGATCATGATATATGCCTGCGAGCCTCGTCGACCTGGCTATGACATCATTTCGGATCGTATCTGATGAGCTTTTAAAAACGAGTGATGTGGTAGGCAGAGAGGCATCTCCTGGTGCAGCACAAGGCCGTAGTTTCCACTCTCGCGTATATGGGACGTAGCTAGAGCACCACTTGATTCCAATAGCGACAAATACCTTATCGACAATTTGTTTGCCACTGTTATATACCCGTTGGTACTGGGTAATAACTTTATTATTTTTCAATTAAATATTATTTTCTGTTGTTGGCTGAGTTGGGAGGGAACATGAAATAAAGTGTACAACGCTCAAGTGAGGTTTACACACAAGACTTTATTACAATAAAACTAATTACTATTAAACAAGCTTACAAATTAGTTTGGCCGATGCTCGTCGATCTGTAGGGCTGCAAGCGCCGTCGGGACGTTACGGTCGTGGCTGTTGCTGGGGCGCTGCGCTGCTGCTTGTCCGTCGGGCGGACGGCTGCCTAGGTGGTGGCGGCGGCTGTTGAAATGATGGTCGTGGCTGCTGCTGGGACGTTGCGCTGCTCGGCTGGTGGAGGCACTCACTCGGGCTTTTCCGTTCGCGAATACAATTGGTAATTTCGACGCTCGCGGTGTATAATTACAAATACAAAGCTAGTCGCTGTTAATAGCTTGTTATTGGTTCTTGATAAATACAATTCATGTAATTCGTAGTTACTCGTTATGCGTGTTCTATTACAAGTCCGTTAAATATCGCGGAGTCGCTATTACAATGATTCGATTAGTCGCGCACAGAGCTTCGCCTTACTCGACTGTGTATAATGATCTGCCCAGAGCTTCGCCCTGCTCGACTGTATGAAATGATCTGCCCAGAGGCCTAATTTTTATGCGAGTTATATACCAATTTAATCATGCATCTTTTGGCGGGGGCACGTCTTGGTTATTTTCCACAAGTCGCAAATCTACCAGCTATTTCGTCAGTTATTGACTTGTTTTGCGCAAGACAAAGATGTGCCCAATAATTATCTGGGGTCAAAGACGTGCCTAATAATTATCTCGGGTCATAGGTCAAACTTTTAGTGATATGGGACTTGCGAGTGCGCGTGCGATCTTGTTTTCGCCCCTCTGTACCATTTCGAATTATTCCATGAATTTCGTCTCGCATGTGTGTGTTATGCCTTCTTTGGTGTTCGGCTTGCACACACACGCAAGTACACATACACGGGATATATACACGTGCGGGGCTTGATCTAGTGCGTCGGTAATGTTGCTCGCGCACGTCCATACGTACCTTAAGTGGCAGCCTTTGCCTGTCTCTGTGTTTGGCTTATACACATACGCGCGCGGGATACATATATGTGTGGGCTCGACCTAGCGCGCCGGTGTGCGTTGGCCGCTTACATTCACACACACCTTCATGCGACAGCGCTTGCCTGTCTCTATGTTCATCTTACACCCATGCCTCTTTACCCGTGAGATCAAGCGTCATACGTGTTAATTTGACGGTCTTATTTTAATTATTATATTTAAATTTTACTATACTTAACGCTAGGTTATTAGTATATAACACCACTCATGTTCAGCTCCTGCGTAATGCCCGATAAATTTTATTGGTTTTGCTTTTTTCCTTCAAAATGTTTGAATAGCTTGCTCTGCTATCTTGTTCTTCAAATCATGAGGCAACCTACAAGAACTCTTTTAATCAATTTTCTTTATCGCTCCTTACAACACTTGGAACACAATTACGTGACGGGTTTGTTTGGTGTGTAAATGATAACTTTCATATTGTCACTGAATAGTTAATTGTAAATATGCATTGAATATACGACTTTTAAAAATAAAAAATTTAAACTAGTATTTAGAAAGCCCCTGGATAAAACTGGACATACATCGGGTTGAAAAAGAGAAAGTGATATCTGAACTCAAAGACCGAAATGGTGGTGTAGATAATATACACTCAAGGGGTTTGACGGTCATTGCTACGCATATTGGTTTTGTGTTGGAAAAAATTCTGACAAACTGTAATGCCTCTAATTGCTGACCTGTATCACTAAAGCAAGCAGATATTGTGCGTATCTTTAAATCTGATAATGCAACATTGATCGATAATTGTCGACTAATCTCTTTGATCTCGAATCTAGCTAAGATTTTTGAAAAATTAATCCACAGTTGATTGATCGTTTCTCTTGAGAAATTTTGCAGAATAAATAAATAACAATATAGATTTTTACGTAATGCGAGTACTACGGACTTGCTACATCGTATTCTAAATATTATCTACGAGTCTGTGAACAAGGATGAAACTTGAAAACGTAGACATAAGAGATCTTGCTCTAAAATTAAGGAGTAGCTATTTATTTTACAGGGGTCAAAGAGTAAAAAATGAATGGTGTTTTAAGTTACACAGAGACCGTTCCGACAGGGGTACTTCATGTCAATGTGCTAGGACCTATTTTTTGTTTATTATATACCTTGATTTGAAAGTAGTCGAAAAAAAGGAACAGCCATATTCTAAGGAAAAGTGGAATTGAAAACTTCTCTTGCGTTTTTCTCAAAAACATTATTATTTTTATGAATGGAAAGTCCTGGCTGCATCCTTGGCATTGGTTGTCATGTCGTATTTATTTTTTAAGTGCCAAGACAAATCATTTTATAGCAGTCATATCCCGTTTATTTATAAAATCTACAATATCTTAAGTTTTAATAAGGAATTAAATATATTAAATTATTTAGAAGGAACAGTAAAGGAAGTTAAAAACAAGCATTTAAATTAATAGGATATATTTATAAGCAGAGGAGGCAGAGATAAGATCCGCACTGGTTGAAGTCGCGCACGAGATTGATAAAAATTTTCAGTTACTATAAGATCTTTGATCTGTAATTTTACAGTAGAAACGGTTTCAGTGGCTTGAAAAACTATGGGAACTCTGTTTCTGTGAGACTCGCATCTTTGTCTCCGCCTTGGTTTCGCGAGTCACCTGCAAAATATCTCTCGACACATGTGTTGTTATTGGAACTTTGATCTTCTAGATCGTTCGATTTCATTATTCTATTATATGTTACATTCTATTTTACAGTAGAAAAGAAGGTCGATATTCATAACAACTAATAAAAGTTTAATTAAAAATTATAGTTTGTAATACATAAGAAATAATACATTCTGTCATCAGCCAACTATCTCATCTTTAATGCATCGTTGACAAATTATACGTTGGGAAAAGGCTCTGGGGTTTTGATTTTTTTAAAATTAATCTCATTTTTAGAGGCGATATTACACTTATAAATTTGTAGGACAAATGAACGACGTAGCGATACGATAGCGATGACGAGTAGTTTTGATAGATATTTTTCAACTGATAAATATTTGAAAATATTTTTTTTACAGGTTTGGTTTCAGAACAGGAGAGCCAAATATCGTAAGCAAGAAAAACAATTACAAAAAGCACTAGCACCCATTCCAGCTTGTCAAAGCTCAATGATGAGAAATATTTACCCTGGAAGTACCAGAGGTTACCAGCCATACCCTCACCCGCATAATACCATAAATGGGATTAACCGATATCCACAGGTAAGAAAATTTAAAATAAAAAAACGAAGTGTCTGATAAACTCAGCGAAACGTTTGCGATAATTTTAATAAAATTTTGACGTTTTTTGCAAATATTTGTGTTTTATTGACGTGCTTTATTGACAAAAGCGTTAAAGTTTAGGTGCCACCTTCATAGCCAATATAAATTATACAATTAAATTGTTAAACCTTGGGTAAACAATTTTTTTTTTCTGGGTTTCAGACCAGATTATTTTTATACGAACGTATTATGCACAAAAAAATTTATAAATAATTAAAACATTTGAGGTTAAATTAATAATGTTAAATTAATTAATAGAAGATAAATAAAACCAATAAACTTTATTCTAATGAGTTTTTTATTTTTATAATTATTCTCTTAAATTGTACGTGTATTATCATTAATTAATTTATTTTTTATTTTAATTTTACTTTTTTTTTTTTACTTTTTGCGCGCCCCGAAATATCAATTCACTAAGATTATTTTTCGGTAGTGGACGCGATACCCTTTAAATTGATACCTACGTAGGCCAGGCCTGAATGTAGGATCAATTTTTTATTTACCGCGATTGTAAGACACATCTACGTGTTCTCTTTGGAAAGACTCGCGAAAAAACGCTACTAAGAGACGTTGTATTAACTGATTGAGTTGGAACATCTAACAGATGATTTTTTCATATTCAATCGTAATATTTATTAGTTTTTAAAATATTGTACACCGAACGAAAAATATGGGCTCAGGCCGGACTCGAACCGGCGACACATTGCCTTTAGCCGGAAAGTGCTCTACCATCTGAGCTACCGAGACCCTTGCCCATATCATCGTTATTTGGTGTACAAGAAGTCGAGAGATGTTAATTTTCACTAATTTTATAGATTGATTGGTCACCACCTATTGGGACCTGCCCCTCTTCCACCGTAGGCTAAGTTTTTTTTTTTATTAATTAAGTTAAGCTTAATAGTTAACTACAATAGTAGAGTTAAATCAAAGAAAATCTTATAAATACAAATAATAATATAATAGCAAGATATACATATAATCAAAGTTATAGTGAGTTTTAAATTTTATACGCATAAGCAAAAAAACCTAGAAAATAGAAAAGCTTAAAGGAAAAAACAAAAAAAGCAATATGTGGCAATAATTGAGACGCTATGAACTGAATCAAAAGTAAATAAATAAGCGTAATTCTGTAAGAGTTGGAGCCTTTTAGGTCTTGAGTAGCAATGAAGAGTTGAATTGTTTCATTGGGTTGTTGAGAACAAGACTGCCATTGAGACTTGTTTTAAAGAGCTTGAGATCTTCGGTGGTATAAATGGATCTAGGACCCGAGTTGATAGATTCACGCATACAAACTATGAGATTATAGACGATTGATCGAGCGTAATTCAGTTTCAGTGACACTTCATGGGCACTTGTCAAAAGTTGATGAGTAGCTGCAGACCACAAAGGAGTTAAAAATTATTTCATCGTGTACAGTTGCTGAGCAGCATTAGAAAACAATGGCTTTTTTTGTAGATGTATCTAGATTCCTATTTGTTTTAGGGCCACTAGGCAACCATTTTCTCGTGCTGACAAAAAAAACGTGAAAAATCGATGGCCTTTATTAAAGACCCTGTTCAGAATCTGGCCATCCAGAAGACCAAGATTTTCAGGCAAGTCCAAAAGCAGCATTTCACAAGTGTCGACCGAGGGAGATGTATTTTGTAATATATCAACTTTAGTGCGAATTGCAGCGATCTCAGCTATGTTATGAGTAATAGTTAATGGAGGAATATGATAGGTAGAGATGGCAAGATGAATAAAAATTTGGACAGGAGAACTTGAAGAGAACAAACTAAAATGAACACTTTATTTATTGCTTAACGCTATATGCACTGTGCACTCACAATTATTGAACAGGTAATTAATCAATGAAACAAAAGGAATATTCCCTAGTGTGAAGTACGAAAAATTGGGTAAGTAGAGAAAGGAATCGTAAAGCTCTGTTCGCAACGAAGGTGCAAAAGGCAGGCTCGACCACGCGTGTTACAGGCTCATGGGAGAGAACAGCTTGCCCACACACGCACACACAGCTCACTCGCTTACATGGCCCATGTGGTCATTCGCCAACAGTTGGTTTTTGGTTTTCCAAGCGTATATCAAGTTAAGTTACATGATGTTTGAAATATATCTAGCAGATAATTCACCTGCTAGAAAATTCTGGAACTCAATAAACCAGGCAGGTGCCTGAGAAACGTCCTTAGATGTCATAATTATGGTAGGAAAATAGTTGAGACAAGATGAGTAGAGTTGAGGTATATTCAGATATTAAGAACCGGAAAGCACTTCGGGCACAGCTACAATACTCCTAGTCACGCAAAGCAAAAAGATTATGAGCACTCTGTTGGTTTTAATTATATACTCTGCTGGAAGCTGACACACACAAACACTTCAAATTCAACTCGATTCAAATTCTTCCTAACTTCGAGGAGTAACAGATGAATGCACAAAATTAACCCAAGATAGCGGAAATGCAAGGCTAGTTACAGCAATAAGATGACTCCAACTGAATCCTTGCAAAATTTAGCGCACAAGATCTATAAGCCAAACATAGGTAGTAATAATTTTAGTAACAATTTGACAAATGAACAGTTAAGGGGAGGCTCTCATCTAGCGCCTCAAAAATGACGTTTTTTTCGTGATTTTTTTTCGTGGAAGGAAGTAAATAATGCAGTCAAGTTTTTTTGGTACTTATAAAGTATGTATTTAACTATATTTTCAAATTTTTTCAGACCAAAATATCGAATTATTTATCGCCTAGCAGCGTTTGATGGAGGTTGTGTTAAAAAAAGGTACCTCAACAGGCGGCAAGCTAGCGCCTTCAGTTTTTGCCCGAAACAAAAAATGCGAAATTCCTCTTAAACTAGATGACATTTGTTGGAGGTTGAACCTAAATAATTGCAAAAAAATTAAAAATTGATAAAATGGCGGACTTCCGGAGAAAAATTTATTTTTTTTGCCCTTTTTGGGCTCTTTTAAGGGCTGCAAAAAAAATAATAATAAAAAAATTTTAAATTTTATAGGTTCAATCTCCAGACAATTTAATTAGCTTTAAAATAAAAAAAAAGCGTATCTCTAAGTGCAGTACTTTTCGAGATATCTTGCCGCCCGATTCAGAAAACATAGTTTTAAGAAAAACGCGTTTGAAGTTTTAGAAAGTGAATGTACATACATACATACATCGTTACTTCGTGAAAAAACAGCTTCGGTTTTTTGCCTATAACTTTTTAACTATATCGATTTTGGTAAAAAGGGTTTCGGGGGTGAATTCTACGGGACATTTGCTAACTAAGTGAGCAAAAAAAAATCGATTTTTTGATCGAGTCTCATGAGAGCCTCCCCTTAACAAGTATAGTGACAAAGCACAATATTCGTAGTAATTTAGTTATAATTACAGTTTAACATTTAAAAAGCTTGTTATATACAAATTTAAAGATGCGTGACAACTTTTATTCTGATTCTGACGCTTGAGAAAATAACTTTTTTCATGGGTTGAATAAGAGAAGAGTTGAAGGTGATTTTGGTGGCAAAAGTACATTCATCAAGTCGGTAGCTACGTATACGAATAACTCCTGCATAGTTGCCGTACGGACTGGCTTAAGAAAGCCAGTTATTACTCGCTTATGGCGGTAGTACGGATCACTAGCACACTAGAAGTCGTCGGCAACCAATCGGAGCCCTCGCCATAAGGGTCAGTCACGGCCTGCGTGCGCCCACTTAAGTAGGATGCAAACCAGCGGATCGCCCGGTCCGAAAGATTCAGTCGATACAATGCGACCAACAGTGTGCGATGAGGAACCGCGTTAAACGCCTTAGGACAGTCGAATAGGACCAGCACTGAAATTTTCCCTTCTCCATAGACATTCGCGCATCGTCAAGGACCGCCAACAGCGCAGAGTGAGTGCAGAGAGAGAGAGAGATAGATAGATAGATTCTTTATTGGGCTTAGGGCGAACCCTGTGTGCACTTTAGAGATACATGTGTTTAACAAAACTTATTTACAAATTTAATCGACGTAACAGTAGCATATAAATGGTAGATTACAAAAACAGTAGTAGATTGATTTTAGAAATGTAGATTCGATTCGATCTGAATTGACATAGAGCAGTTGATGGTGTTGTGGACAAATGAAAAGCTGAGTTGGATGGAAAAGCGAATGAGATGTGTAAGCCAGGGTTGAGCTAAATTTGAATTTGTGAATTATCGATGACGATGACGAGCAGTTTGGAAAATATGGTCTGTTTAGTTCGTGAAATGAGGGGAGGGTCGAAAAGGATGGTTTCAGGAAAGAGATCATTTATGAGGTCCGTAGCTGTGTAGGTAAATGAGTTTTGAAGTGCAGCAGTATCCACAGGCCGATAGTAAAGCGTTCGTCGGGGTAGACGAGTAGAGAATCGCTCAATTCCACTGTTCACAGACAGTTTGAAGTTCTTCTTCAGGTACGAGGGGATACCCTGCGCAAGGCAGGTGTACGCGATGGAAGAGAGAGAGAGAGACCCTATCTGGCACAAAAGATACAATAATTGAATGGTTTTAAATATTCAAAAAAATTTTGTAAACATTATAAATTATAATATTATTGTAGTAATTACATGTAGCAATAGTCATTACAAATTTGAGATTAGATAGATTGTTACTTACAAAGATTTTAGATAATAATTTTAAAAAAAAACATTTTTTTAACGAATCTGCAAGTATAAATTCTACTGAAGATATTCCTACAATTCCTGAAGTACCAGAATGCTATTTACTACTTAAAAAGGATTATGTTCGAAGAATATATTGCTTGTGATGACCATACTGATATTTGTGGAGAAATTTCAGACGCCAACATTATACGAGAAGTCGCAGCTATACCCAAGTCTGAATTCAGTAGCGAGGGTGAGGTCGAGGATCTATCTTTTTCATTTTCAGCTGTACACTTAACTGGTAATACATTCAAGACCGACTGTTTTCATCCGAATTTTGAACCGCGTTTTTGAACTTTGAAAGGCTATCGACAAGCAAGCAATAACTTTTTTGACATTTTAAAAATAGCTTTGCTCATGTTGAGATTTGATTTTTCCTAAAAACTAATTACACAAAGTAGCTATAGTATACAATAATTGTATGTGTATACAATAATTGTATTGTATGTGTACAATGATGCAATACAATAATTTTATGTGTGTCACTGGCCCATTCACATGAAGACACGAGAAAAGGCAGCGGCAAGTCAGCATAGATAACGGCAACACAGGCATAAGTTACGCGCAGCTAGGAATGCAGACGACAAGCTCAACGCACCAACGAAGCTCGATCGATATTTGCAAAGTTAGAGCTTATCGACAACGACTCGCTACGCTTGCACGTACGATCGACTATGAGGCCCAAGGTATCGGAGATAATTCGTCATCTCTTTGGTGTGATTCAAACTCGTTCACCTGACAAATCATAACTACGGTTGTGACTAGTGCCAAGCCAACCTGGTCCTGGAAAAGCTACCTAGAAGTGTCGCCTGCTACCATATTCACGTCGACTCCAACCAACATTGAGAGGGTCAAAGGATTCGACGACGCCGAAGAGGCCGGCCTTCAATAAGTTTAAGGAGACTCTTTCGATAATTGTAAAGATGGGCCATCTTCATGAATTCTATATCAATCGATTCGTAAGAATTGTACAAATCATTTAAAAAAAATATATATGGGTAAACATGCTTGTTTCCGAGAAAAATGACTTTGAAAATCGCACTTTTAACACGGGGCTCTTATGGGAGGTCACCTATTTTTGTTAATAACTTTTCGTAGAAATGGACCATCATGATAAAAGTAGTATTTCCTGAAAGAAAAAATTATACTAATTACGATAGGATCTTGAGAAATTGGGGTAAACATGCTAGTTTAGAAGATATTCCACGTTGAATGTTCGGTTTCGTGATGCACGCTGAAACGACGCGGCACCCGCGTAGCGGACTCATGCGCGCGAAATTCAAAATCGCCCTAAACTGAAAGTTACAATTTCAATTGACGAAAAGTATAAATTTGTTTTAATTTCATAACAAATCTATTTAATTATTAAAAATATAGATACAGAAATTGTTTAAACGATTTATTTTATACAAATTTAAAATTTTTAAACAATTTATTTTATAAAAATTAAAAATTTTTTAACAATTTATTTTATAAAATTTAAAATTTTTTAAAAATTCATCACTTATTTAATTTTAAAAATAAATTGTTATTTCTTAATCTTTCACTGGAAATAAACTTAAAATACTTTGGATTACTCCCTTATTTTTGGTCAGGCGGGGCTTGCCTCCAACGTCTTCCTGTAGCAACATTTTCAAAGCCTCATGTCCACCTGCTTCAAATGTGTTACTTAAAACATTTTTATCCACTCCCATCTTGGACATTTTAGTTAGCATACCGGGCGATATCTTATTTTCATAAACGGCTAGAGAGGTTCGATTTAATTTAATTATATTATTTTTTTGATTCTCTATTTGAATCATCGATATTGTTTTATAATTATTATTATTGACAAATTCGGAATCAATGTCGAATTATCGATGGGAAGTTTTAGAGCCTTTATATCATCCACGGCATTGTGCAGCGAGTCGACATCAACGTGTGGCAAATAAGTTTTTACCAGAGCTGCGATGGAGAATTTCTCTTTGGCCTTCATTCTCTCGGGAAGTTTTTTTTTTAATAGTGGCAGCGAATCCGCGAATCCTACCACTACTTGGCAAAATTCTTCGTACATTCCCGTACTCAAAATAACTTTCATCAACCTCGGAGCATCGGACCTATTAGAAAAAAATTCATTCGATATTTTTCTAAATCTGTCACTTAATTTATATACAAACCTGAAACAATTATGAGCCAATAAAATTACTTTTTTATTTTGGCTCTACCACTTTTTTTTTGCGAATTTTCCCTTTTTCTTACCCCGGAGCATGTGAGGTATTTGAATCTTAACCATTATTATTACTTAAATATTACAATAAACTAGTGTTTATGTAATGTACGCGTACTGATGTTGTTTGTTACGAGCCGGTATATCAGCAATACAGACGACGCATCAGCTGACAGCTCGGACTGGAAATTGAGCCGCGCGGCGCATGCGCACTGCCGTGCGTACTGCATCATGCATGATCTCGGCGCTCTCTCACTGTGAGAAAACTTACACCGAAAGAGCCTCTTTAAGTACGCTTTACACACATACACACAGACCTCACACTATCGAGCTATCGCGTGTCATGTATCACGCATTAGTTATTAATTATTAATTATTGGAACTCACGCCCCGAGAGTCAATCGAGAGTCTGCATGCTCTACATGCAGTGACGTGCCGAGCACCTTGTATTTTCTATTCATTCTTTGATATTTTATAATACATTTTAAAATCATTCAATTATCAATGAATTATGTTTATTATTTATAATTTATTTTGCCTAACTAATCCTCACATTACGTAAATTACATGTCTTAACCTAAAAAATGCGATTCTTCGGGTTAAAAAATATGTGAATTGACGTGTAGTAAGTTATCATGTCTGAGATGAAATGATAAAAATGTTAGGAATATACATATAAATTTACGCAAAGAAATGATAACAAATTTTGTATATTTGGAAAAGCTCGTAGATTCTCAAGATTCTCAATTTGTAGAGAATCTACTACTCGCTGTAAAAGCGAGGACAGATGTGGATCTGCCGATTGATTAGTATTTAGATTTATTTTATTTTACAATTACTTTTATTTATGAGAATTTTTCCGTATTAAAATTTAATTTAAGATTAAATATTTAAATAAGAATAACGGAACGAAATGCATTTTTTCTTTTTACTCGGACGAGTTTGCGAAGATCAATGTCGATCCCTCTTCATCACAATATTTATTTTTTTTTTATTTTTCAAATACATGAATTTTGATGACGTTTGTATCGACTTGAACAATATGCAAATATACTTGAAAACGGTGAATTTTAGATGCGATTTAGATGTAAATGTGAATTAAGGGTCCCTTAGAGGCCTTAAATTTGAATCAAAAGCTATTTTTACATATCCAAGTAACATACCAAATTTTGGGGCAGGTCCGTAAACCCTCCCTACAAAACTCATCCAAAAGTAAACAAACTCTTCATAAGTATTTGAAAATTACAAAAATTTCAATGAAAATGGTTGAGAGGATAATTTGAATGAACTTTTTTTATCCATTTGAAAACATTGTTCATAGTAATAGCATTATTATTTTTAGATGAGTGGTGCAACTTACTCAGGTATGACTCAGCCATTTACAATGACTCATTCAACATCTAATATGTCAGCAGTAGCTAGCATGAGACAAGAATCCGTAGGTAAGTCTATTTTTGTTTCAGAATAATCATTGAAAATTTAACGAATTAAATTTATTATATCGAATTTTTTTCAATGTATTTTAATATTGTATAAACGTACACTATTACTATTCATTATTGAATATTAATATAATTGTAACGTATAATTGAAAAAAATTGCAAATCGAATTTTTTTTTATCTTTTATAACTTACTCTCTTTCTGTGTTTTTCAATATGTAAAAGCTTTCTCGAAGCGAATAATAAAATTTCAAAAATAATCCAGAGGTAACAAGTAATGTAATGTAGCTTTTAACTGTCTCAATTTTTCTCTGAATGTTTGATGTCACCCCCGCATTTTGAGTGAAAACTTCCTCGAGTTTAGTTACACGTTTTTCAATTTTGAGAGAATATTAGGCAAACGTCTGAATGGAGGATTGTGATGATCAATCTTCTGATCATTTATTGGATCCAAATTCTACTAGAAATCTCTAAAGATTTCTATGTTACATCAAATTTTTTTACGCGTCCGAAATATCAATTTATTCTTTATGATCAATTCGGTTATTGTGATGCGGTACCCTTTGAGACAGGGCGGAATTGGGGGATGCAACTGCCCCTGCTCGTTCCTTCGACGTCCATTTTATTTACAGGGCAAGCTCGAGAACTTATTATCTTACCTCATACAGAGGGGGGTCTGAGCCGTCGTCAATCGAGTCGCGAGCGTCGACTCGTATCACCAACTTACCATCAGATGTCCCTACCTGAACGAACGGGTTTCGGATGCAATTGAAAGTCCAAGATTTGAAATGACAACACCAATGCGATTACTGTTAATTACTACTATTCAATTTATTAACCTGTTTCGAGCCAAACGGACGAAATTTCCCACATTTTTTCCGGTGCTATAAACTTTGTGAAAAAAATATCTGAAAAGTGTTTAAATAGTCATTTCTAATGTGAAATGTTATGAACTTTTCGAATCCGGTGTCAGAATTGTCAAAAAAGTTGAGGAGCAAAAGTTATGAACAATTGAACAACAAAAAACACGATTGTTTTGGAAAAAATTTTGATTCGACCCAAATTTTCGAATCAAAAGAGACTTGATCCGTGGGTCTAACACATTTTTTTGCGTCCATGGTGTGTAGACATGAAGGTCCAATTGTTACGATATCCAAATTCAACATGACGGACAACAAAATGGCGCCTCGTAATAAAAACCATGTATAAACTTGGTCAATTTTTTTATATGCTAACCAAGCATCTAGGAAAAAAACTTTACTTAGAAAAAGTCCTTAGAATTGTTCAAAAAAGACCCCTGAATTTTTTCAGAATTTTCCGGGGAAATTTTTGGATTTTTGAAAATGGTCAGAAATCAAAAATACCAAAAATGATCCAAAAAAAATCTTAAAAAATTCAGACATGTTCTTTGAAATATTCCAAGACTTTCATAACGTATAACACTTTTATAGCACTATGTGGCATAAGTTCACATTTATGGCACGCTTTTCCGTGGCATAAGTCGCACATTCTGGCACCGCTGCGTTCGCATCGTACTCGTATACGCTTGTGCGCTAACCTCACTTTGCGGTACCAGAAAGTGCGACTCATGGCTCGAAAAAGGGGGCATAAATGTGAACTTAGCACAGTGCTATAAAATGTTGTACGATACTCGTGCCATGGGGACACTTTTCGGCCCAGCTATTAGGACCCTCGCTATACGCTCGGGCCCTAAACTACGCCGTGCCAAAAAGTGTTACTTATGGCACTTGTATCGTGCAATACTATTTCGTCAAGTTCTTCCTTTTCAAGTAAAAAAATTAAATTATAATTATTTTAAAAACATAATTAGTTTTCATAACTCGAAAATGAATATCTTTCGTTTTTTCGTTCGTGCCTGATAACAATTCTTGTTTGATGTCATCTTGTATAAAAATAACTTTTTCAATTTCTAAAAAAAAAGACAATGGATAAAGTAGTTTATAAATCTTGAAAGCATATTTTTTTTATGATTGACGTACTCATTTGGTTTTTTGCATTCAAGACATTCTTCTGGACTGCTTTTACCCCGAGATTCAGAATCTCATTGCTCATTATCAAAGAGATCGAATAAAGGTTTTTGATTCGAGACAGACTTATTGAGTAGGCTTGTGTTAGCTTTAAATTTTTGATTATCTCTGCGCTGTTATTTTTGATTTGCTCTAATTTGTTATTTGGAGTTGAAGATTCAGGCAAAGATGGCTTTCCATCACTTGTTACGACCAAATTTTTTAAGTACTTAGGATCGTCTATAAATAACAAAATATTTTTTAATCACCATTTTTTTTGAGGATGATACCGACGTTATTGTGTTTTCCGTATCACACTTTCACATTTTAATTTTCTTTTCTTGTTTCAACTGAATCCCTTTCTTTCACTACACTTACTTTTTAAGATTCATTGAAATAAATTAAGTAGAAGATAATTATTACCAATTTTGTTTGAGAGATTTTTAATCCAAGTTGATTCCACAGATAAGATGGTGGTTTGTGTTAATGGATCTTTACTCCTGCAATCAATGGTTTACAATATAATGAATATATTCGCTATGCTTTCTCCCTCTAATTAATTCAAACATATTAAATTATAATATTTCAAATAATTATTATTACAACAAGACTACAAAGCAAGACAGCGAGACAGACCGACGAGCCACAGCGTCTCTAGGGAAAGGAGAGAGAATATTCGGATCGTGCCTTGTTAAATTTAACTAAGGTGTGGATTTTGTTTGTGGACTTCAGCCGAGTATAATAAGTTGTTGAGTTATGTAAAAAAAATACCATTAGAGTCAAAGGATGAAGTAGCTCTGAAAGATTTGTTACATGAAAAACATGTTCTTGTATTCTATAGATTACAAATAAAGAATATGTTATTCACTTGTGAATTGTAGGCAAGACAAAAAATTAGTTGCTCTAATCTTATAAAATATTCAATGAATAATGAAAAGTTATATGAATCTATTAAATATTTTTTAAGAATAAGTTTTTTAACTGCTCCAAAAATTGTCTATGTGCTGGGGAATATTATGCAGTTACTCGTAAAATTACAATTCAAAACAAATTATTATGTACTAACAAGGAGAGCTTTTCAGGTGCAGGTCATGGATTTGCTCCAAAATTTTTTTGTGATCTCCTGGTACCCAAAACTGAAGCTCTCTGTGCTTAGTTTGATCCAATGGGCCTTAAGGCCCATTTTGTAGAGGATTTCCCACATTATAAAAAAATATTTGTTATTTTCTATACCGAAATAGAAGTACTTAAACAAAAAAATGGGACGATCAAAAGTTTTAAAATTTTTCAAAGAATCTGCTTGAATTTTTCAGAATTTTTGGGACCATCTATCACTTAATTCAAGAGGCCCAAATTTGACGTTTTTTTTAGTAGATTTTAGTACTTCGTAAAGAGAGTGTTAGATTGTCCCAAAAATTCTGAAAAAATTCAAGCAGATTCTTTGAAAAATTTTAAGACTTATGATCGTCCCATTTTTTCGTTTAAGTACTTCTATTTCGATATAGAAAATAACAAAGATTTTTTTATAATGTGGAAAATCCTCTAAAAAATGGGCCCTAAGGCCCATTGGATTAAACTAAGCACAGGAAGCTTCAGTATTGGGTACCAGGAGACCGCAAAAAAATTTTGGAGCAAATCCATGACCCGCACCTGAAAAGCTCTCCTTGTAAGTACCAAAAGGTACCCACGCCTTACATTTTTGAATGTTCTTCTTCTGAAGAAGTTGGTTACATTGACGTGCACTCAATAATATCTATTTGTTTTTATATGACCATTTGAAAAAAATTACACGTGGATCATACATAGAATCCTCGAGGATCGGGCATTGGCGAAAGAACCGGCCGGAAGACTGGTTTGGTGGGCTCTCAAACTCCAAAATTGGACGTTCACGATAGAGCATCACAAGGACACCCATATAAAAGAACCAGATTTTCTTTCTAGGATTCCAGATACTGAAGGAGAAATCGTGGCATTTGAAGAAGTCAAGGATTTCTGGTACGTAACGTGACTCAAAGAAGTCCAACAAATGCCATAGAAGTTCGACGATTAGAGAATCGAGGATGGACTGCTATACAGGCATCGCGCAGATCCGCTTTTAGATCCGATCGACGGCGGAGCCGAAACATGGAGATTGTCGTTCCAGAGGAACATCGAGATCGAGTGTTGGACGAATTTCATGATGTGTCTTCGGCCGGACACCTCGGTTTCCAAAAGAGATATGATCAAATCGCAAAAGAATACTATTGGCCTGGGATGTGGCACGAAATCAAGGAATTCGTCAGGATATGTCCAATTTGTCAACGGCATAAAACTTCTCAGACTGGGCCCCGAAGGAACTCTTGGACGCCATATAGTGGAACGCTCGTGGGCCGTTGTGGTGGCAGATATGATAGAGTTTCCTATGAGCCGAGGCAGCTACAAATAGATACTCGAGTTCCAAGATCCCTTCACCAGATATGTAGAGCTGAAACCGTTGCAAGCAGCTTACGGAAAAGCTGTTGCCAACGTACTCAAAGAGTTGATTCTGCATCAATGGGAAGTGCCAGAGTACTACTTGACCGACGATGATCACGAATTTGCGAATAAGTTTTCGGACAGTTTCTTGAGCGATTACGGGATCAAGCATGTGACTACGCCACCGTATCACTCAGCCGCAAATCTCGTGGACCGTTCAAATATAACCATCAAAGCAATAATATCGGCTTATGTTCTCACCCTACGGCTGTGACAAGAGCCATCTTGAAGGAACAAGCTTCGCCTCCGCCTTGGTGCGACGCACCGAGCGAAGGAGCGTTTTTCGGCAAATTGGACTATCTACCCTGAGATTAAATGGATCCTCCTTGGCGCCGTTGCTTCAACTACTGGGAGCGAGGCCATTACCGTCAGAATTGCCGGAATAAGAAGCACTCATGGTATTTCTTCAACTGTGGACGCAATGGTGTCTTGATGAAACAATGCCCGCGCTGCGCTAGGGA